GTGGTGGTGTGGGGAATGGGTGGAAGTGCTCGTCGACGATCGTCTACCGACCATCAATGGCAGACTCGCATTCATGCAGCCGCAGTCATCCAACTGCTTCTGGGCATCGCTATTGGAGAAGGCGATCGCCAAATTGCATGGCTCCTATGAGGCGCTCAAATATGGCACACGATCCGATGGCCTAACCGATCTACTAGGCGGTGTTGTCAAGTGCATGCCCATAATATCGGACAGCATAAGGCCGCAAACGCTGAAGGATCATCTGGCCACAACGTGCATTGTCACCTGCATTGCGGTTAAGAATGCGGCAGTACAGAAAAAGAACACAACGGAAAGGCTAGCAAATGGCATTTTAGTGAATGCCAATTACAGGTATGTCTGGCATAAATGATTTTATAAATATATATTTTATTATTGAAATTTACTTAAAGGCTTTCGTGTTTGGATAAAGTCGAGACAGTTATTGGCGATTCGGTACAGCTGGTACGTATTAAGGACACATTCTCATCCAAGCCTTTTGGCGATAAAACCAATTTCATTGGCGATTGGTCGCCCACGTCTAAGACATGGGAGCGTGTATCATCGACGGAACGCGGACGTCTATTGGCCCAATTGGAATTGGGCGAGTTTTGGATCTCGTTTTATGATTTTGTGCATACGTTCACAGCACTGGAGATCGTTTATTTGGACTCGGATACAGCAAATGGAGAGCAAATGTTAAAAGGACGACCGCTGCACTGGAAAATGAAAATGTATCAAGGACAATGGAAACGAGGTGTAACTGCCGGCGGTTGTCGTAACCATGAATCCTTTCACATAAATCCACAATTATTGGTATCCATACAGGAGAAACAGGATATTGTTATAGCCCTAAATCAACATACCGCTGTCGAGCCCAAAGTCATCGGTTTCACCATGTACATGTGGAATCGTGACTATAGCCTAAACGAATGTTTACAAAAGGACTTCTTCAAGAATCAAGTGAGCTTCCTTAACTCAGACTATGGCAATACCAGACATGTCAGCTATCACACACAGCTTGATATCGGCCACTATGTGCTGATGCCCACCACCTATGAGCCCGCCGAGGAGGCACAGTTTACCGTTCGAATACTGGGCACGTCGACATTTCGGCTATCATGCCTGGAGACGCAGACAATGATATTGCTGGATCCATTCCCATCGCTGAAAAGCGATGATAATGTGCAGAAAATCAAGAGTGTCTGTCAATATGAGCCCGTTTATATGCAATTGGCCGATGAAAATAAGACAATTAATTGCTTCGAACTGCACGAATTATTGGAGGCATGCCTACCAAATGACTATATCAAAGGATGCGCCAACATTGATATATGCCGACAGGTAATCGCACTCCAAGACAAAACCGGCAACGGCCGCATCACGTTCCAACAGTTCAAAACATTTATGGTTAATCTGAAATCATGGCAAGGTGTTTTCAAAATGTATACAAAAGAGAAAGCCGGCATTTTACGTGCCGAGCGCCTACGTGATGCACTTTATGACATCGGATTCCAGCTGAGCACAGATATCATGAACTGTCTTATCCAGCGATATATACGTAAAGATGGCACTCTGCGCCTCAGCGACTTTGTCTCGGCCGTAATGCAACTGACGACGGCCTTCAATCAATTCCACATGAAGAACTACAACCAGGTGAATGTCATTGAGGTCCATCTGCATGATTGGATCAAGAGTATATTAAGTTGCTGAACACAGGGAAACTGCAATTTTCGGCCTTAACGTTGTGTAATAAATTGTTTTTTTTTTTTGTTTTTTTTCGCAAAAAAAAAAGGTAAATTTTTATTTTATATGCTGTTCGTTATAATTATTTATTTTTAATGTGACAAACAAATTGCGTACATATATAAATGTATATATACATATAACATAAAGTTGTTGAAAGCGCATTGTAAAATAAAATTGAAAGACGAGAAATGATTCAGTAACAACAACCATGATTTTCACTTAATATTTGTACGTATATTAGTTTAAAATATTTATATTTATATACTTAAATTCATAAAATATAAATAATAATAGCTGTATTACGATAGGATAGTTGTGTATACTGTCATCTGTAAAGTATACAATATATGTTATATTATTATGTTGCAGCTGGCGATATTGCGAGTTGGCAGCTAAAATGCATATTATTTATTAACTATTTAGCGATTCAATAATTGTGTTTAGCAGCTTCTAAAACATATCGAGTTCTATGTGTATCTGACGTATTACTAAGTACTTTGCTTAAACTAGGCGAACATACATTTCTGTATGCATATAAATACTGTATGAATAGTTTATTATTTTATTAGTTTATTAGTTTTTTTTTTGTTTTAGTTTTTTTTTATGGACGACAGGCATTTCAACGCATCTTTGCATGTTTCCCGTTTGCTCAATTAATCCATGTTTAATTTACAAAAAACTTGATTGCGCATAACACTAGGCGAGGCGACTCCGAGCACTAAAAACATTACATAGAGGTTCCATTATGGGAGGAGGCATCACTAATACGCCGCGACAGCGTTGTCTTACGGCTGATGGAGAGCGTATTGGCAGCCTGATTCGAATGGATGCTCGGCCCCAGATTGTTGGGATTATGATTTGTCGATGCTATATTTGATATATCGTTCGCTGTGGGCGACGTCGCGAGTGCTCGCAATGGGGAGCGCCGCAGCGAGCCGGTTACTTCATGGGGCTCTTGGTAGCCCGAGTCCATATCGTCATGGTAGGAGTCCATTAGGGGTGTGGGATCCTCATAATCGTAATCAACAAAGCCATTGTTATCAAAGGACTGCGAATATTCAAATATGCTGTAGACACAATTAATTGACATAACAAAAATATCTTATGTTACCTTGACAAAGGATTGGGACTGCTTGGCATAGCCGCGGAACACCTGATTGTGCGCCTTGCCGCGATAATCAACGGACTCGTAGTGGCCATCCTGAGAGTTCTCAATTATGAAATGCCTGGTGCCGTGTGGCGTTAATGTGGCCCACAGCAGGCGGCTATCATTCACCAGCTGACTCTGCAAAAGATCCCGACTGTTTGCTGTGGCGCATGGATAGAGTATTCCTCCCGAGGTGAACGCATTCGATTTGGTTGCTTCACCCAGGGCATTGATTGCGTTTTGCTTGATATTTGCATCATGATACGAGAAAAAGGTGCTAAGTACAATTTAAAAAAGAAAAAAACAAAACAAAACAATTCATGAAATCAATTTTGTAGACAATCTGGAATACATACTCTTTGCATCTGATGACAATCAATGCCAGGAAACAGGCAAGCACAAATATGCCAATGCAGGACGAGACGAAAAACCAAACATTTTCCAAACTCTTTGTATCGCTGCGTACCAGCTCCATCAGCTCATTGCCGCTATCATTATGCTGGTTTTGGCCACACATAAAGGCCGCAAAACATGGCTGAGACTCATTCGAGGGCAACAATATATCAATGCTCTTCGGTTTTGATATCAGGAACGATGGCAGCGGCGGCGGCGGCATTGAGAGTATGAAATCTGGCGGCGGACCGGCCAACTGGTCACAACTGCCCACACAATTTCCAAGTAAGAAATTCATTTTGCCTGAAAGAAAGGACATTGACCAATTCTTATATGTGTCTATGTGTATGTTATGTTATTTAACCGCTCAACTAACCCCAAGCCCAGCAAATGTTGTATTTAAACACATACGAATGCCATATCAAGTCCCTGAAAGTTTCATAACGATTAGCCAATAAACACGGCAGTTCTTCAAGAAAGCATTTCTTATAAACTCGGTCTCCGGGCAGAAGAAGCACAATCAATGCGTAAAGTGCGCAGATTGCGGCGTGCGTGCGTGCGTTGTCTTATTTCTGTGCGTGTGTGTGTGTGTGTTTGTATGCATGGAAAAGAGCTTGAATTGGGAATATCCTCGTCGGGCATTTACGAGTAGAGTTCACTTGTTTTATAAAACTAACAAATGATTTTTTTTTTAATAGCCAAAAGTCTTATATACATATCAATGGTAAACTGTGAAAATGTTTTGTTTGTCCAAATTGTCTCGACCCAAATAGTTATACTACGCATTGGCAGCAAATCCTCGAGCACTCGACACTCGAGTGATATATGATATGCAACTGATAATATCAACAAATTAAGACACTGTTTTACTCGAAGAAGAAAAAAAATGAAAAAAAAAAAAAAACGGTAACTTCTCTCTAAACATTGACAAACCTTAATCCAATAACGTGTCCTGTACCGATGAAATCTTACCTTGAACTGAGTAGCGAAAACAATTGCCATATTCCCAGCTCGAAGAGCGCCCATGCGCGCGCACCTCCACTCAATGTGGGTAACAAGTAACCCCTGCTGGCTAAGCCACACCCAGCCAATACACATAGTCGGATTATTCAAATTGTTTTCCACATTATTTAGCATGCAGCTAAATTCTTTCCTTTTTTTTTAAAATATCAAACATTTTCAAAGGTATCAAAAATCGGTTGTGAGACAAATTAATCATGTCTGAAATGAAGTCTTCAACAAAGTTGCGGGTTTCAAGGGTTCTTAGTCGAAAAATAACAATGAGAAAGCATTCAAATAATTGAGTACATTCAGTAAAGGCAAACGAACATTGTTAACAAATAACTTTACGTAATAGTAATAGTAAAAACCTGAATGCATGACGTAAATTAGAGAAAACTTAACTTATGCCAAATCCGAATGCAGATTCGCTTGGCTAGTTACCAAAAGGGGAAAGACTAGGCGAAGGCCAACAGAAAATGCTGTTAACTTCGCTCAGTGAATATTCGATACTCATATCAATATCATATATACATATATATATATCATATCAAGATCATAACGCAACTCTCTTTATAAACATTAACTAGATAAAACGCGTTTTTGTTATCAAATGTATTACATTAATTGGGCAATAAGCCAGTTATACAGCTCGTAAATAACAAATGTTGGGTTTAACAAAAAAAAATAATAATAAAAATAAAACTGTGATAACCATTTAATTTATGCTACATACACTTGCAATATATGAGTAAATATTAGATCACAATTATACTATTTTTTCTCCCCATATGTCATAACGACGCCAACGATCAATGCCAGCACCGTGAATCCTTGTGCTGCGATACGGGTACGCATCATAAATTGGGACATTCTGCGGTTGCCGGTGCGAAAATTGTATAGACCAGCTGTTAGGGCTGCGGTTGTGGCCAGGCATCCTGTGTGGTGCATATTGAACAGAAACAAATTTCAATTATAATTGGCAACGTTTACATAACGAAATTCGAACAATTCTAGTATATTGCTTACCAATCGGCACCAAAGGGTTCTCCTTTATTTTGCGCACAAGTCTTTCCTTGGTCGTTTCAATTTCGACAACTGGCCCCAGATCCTGACGTAATTGAATCCAGTCCAAGTCCTCCGCTGGTAACGGTATTTCCGATTTGTTGGGCATCTTGTCAATAGCTTGAACAGGTTATTCTGCAATTTAAACAATAAATCAGATCCAATACCGACAATTCATATTAACAGAATGGAACACACATCCAAATAAACAGATGATTACAGACGTGCGCACAGATGACGGTCACAATGCGGAACGTTGCAATGGAACAGGGATGTGTATGCGCTAAATATGAGAAGAGAATATTTACGAAACTAACATTTCTTATCTGAGTTTAAATATATTGATGCTTTTTTCAAATATGTCAATTCAATTTTAAAACAGTTCTTCATTGCATTTATACAATTTTATTTTTAAGATAACCATTTGCTTGCCTCAAATATGAACTTGAACTTGCAGTTCAATTATTAGTTCTATGCATTTTCTAGTGTCTCAAAATCTGTTCCGTCCCTAGCATTGGTTACCGGGTTGACTTTACAACGGAACGCAGATTTCGAAATCGTTTATCGAATGGTACTATTCTTTTTTTTTCCCCTATCTTTGATATATTATATACACATGACTTATTATAAATAATAAGTGCAATATGCTTATAATTTATAAATACCTATATTTTTATTTACAATATTTGAAACCTTTTATTATTTTAAAGCCATTTTTGTATGTCATTTAACAGCAAGCGCATAAGTTAATAGACATGTATGTTTATGTGTACACACATATGTATATATGTATTTAAAAACAACCCTGTGATGATCAAATAAAATCGAAGAAAATTTGTGTGTTGGGTATTTCTGACCTCACTAACACGTTCACACACAGCTGCATTATTCCAACCATGTTTCTCTCTTTTTAAAATGAGAGAGTTTTGAAGTACAGTCAGACGAGGAACGCAAAATGAAACATGTGTATGTAGCGAGAATATCATTGTGTGTGTATGTCCAATAATATATGTACATGCATTTTTGTGTTTGTGTAGAGGCGAAAAACAAACGCACACATTCAAATAAATGTGAATGTATTATTGGCATGGGATGGGGATGCATACATATGTACATATGTATGTACATTTGAACGTACGTGTATAGGTATATATGTACGTATGTACATTCACAGACATGTACATAATTACTTACAAACATATAAACATGTATACCAAATGTACATACATACATATTTGGCTGGTTTTTAAGTGCGTTTTAATGATGTATGGATAGTTTGTAGGCAAAAATAAAATGATTAAAGCAGTTATTTATCGAAGACGTACCCTATTCATATATATGTATGATGGTACATACATACATGATTGACCATATAAATATGTATGTATATTTAAGTATGTACATATGTATGTAGGTTTGTTTTCATGCATGTATGAACATTTAAAAGTAAGGTACATCTATATGTTGCTTGCATGTGTGTATATATAGGTATGTATGTTTGAAGACGTTTACTTACAGTGTATGTACATATGTATGTATGTGTACATACATATGTTTGCATGAACCTTAGTATAAAAAGTAACAAGACAAAAATGTTATAAGGCCTGTTTCCCTCCACCACGTGTATACACACACACATACACACACTTAACACTCATTGGACAGCAGGAGAGAAAGTGTGCTCAGTAAACTGTACTCAGAGCACGCCGCTGGCTGCTTGCTCTCACTCTCCGTCTCTCTCTCTCTCGCTCGTTCTCACACACAGACACAGAGTTACTCACACAAACGCACACACTTGCGCATTCAACGCATACAGAAGTCTGGCGCTAGCCAGGCTGGGCTATGAAGCACAGTAAGGCAGAGACGGCTATTCAATTCAATAGCCTTTGCATTCGTTGTTGGTACTCTCTCTGTGTGTGTTTTCAATCAAGCGAGCGGCGCGCGAACCTCATCTTTTCCGCATTGATACCAACAAAAACACATTTACTGCAATAAAGCTGCGTTTGTGGCGTCGTTTGTTTATTTTTTACTAACTAAAAACAAACAATAACAACAGAAGAAGCACCAAACTCCAAACTCGCGTTACGTTACGTTTATCGTTTCGTTCGCTGTTACGCTGATTCGCCGTAAGAATCGGTAACAAATTTTCAAATTACCGTGTGGCGTCTGCTAGTTCCTGCGTCATAAATACATATATATATACATATATATGTATGTATAATAATCAATATAACGTACATATGTACATAGAATAATCGAATGCGAGTTGCAACTGGCTTTCAACTTATTTTGGCCATTGAGTTTGTGTTGAGTGCAGTGCAAAAATTGAAAGAAGAAGAACGCATACCTGCAAAAATACATACACATATTAAGCTATAAAAAAAAACTTGAACTCTTCCCCGCAACCCCCATTACGAATCGTTCGCACAGGAATCGTCTTAAATCATGGAACATTTTCATCAAATACAGGTAAGCTTAAGTGCACATACAGGCACACACACACACACAAATGTACATGTCTGTATGTATATTTGCACGAACTATTCTGGCGTTTATCGTTTATTTTGCTCTACAGCGTCATGCAGCATTTAGTGTCGCAAGTTAAAGTTTTTTTTCCCGCCAACAACAAATTAAATTGGCAAACACGCACTTCAATTTCTATACATACATACATATGTATATACATAGGAGCATACATATGTATGGATGTATGCATACATATAATATGAGACGCATGAGAGAGTATGGAAATTTTACAATGGCCGAGTTGGAATCTCAATGCATACATGTGTTAATACACATTGGTACATACATACATACATTTTACCAAGTTTTTTCGTGTACGTACATACACATTTGTACATCGCCAACATACATGCATACATTTGAAAAGAAACTAAATATGTGAACTACAGACAGGCATACATATGTATGTATGTAGCTGCGTATACACGTACATACATACGACCGACGCTATGCGTATATGCATACATATATTCATACATACAAGCAACATTTTTATTTTGCGTGCGCATCTATGGCCGCCATTTTTTATTTTATTTTATTTTGTTGCTCGTTCGGCGTTTACTTATGCATGCGTTAATTTAGAACAGCTAAATTGCATAGTTCATGCGAATGTATTTACAGACGTCTACATACATATATATATATATATATATAAATGTAATGCATACAGACATATGTACATACATATACATGTGTATTTAACATTATAAAATTGGAAATGACATGTGCCTCGATTTTTCAAATGTTGAGCAGACACAAACACAGCTGTGTGTGCGTGTGTTATACATACATGTATACATTTGTGTATGCATAGTTAAGCTATAAATGTGTACATATACAAACATACAAATGAAAACTTGAAATATGTATGCACACAACATCGAAGCTTGCGTAATCTGAAATTGGCTGCATGTACATACCATATGTATGTGTATGTACATACATATGTATATAAATATGTATGCGTGGTGCTCCCCATGTGAATTCTTTTCTTTGTATAGTGTCTCTTGCTGTGAGAAGACAACTACAACTAATATGCCTGTATGTATGTATGCACGTTTGTGTGTGTGTGTAAACTCGAAATGCTTTGTCAGTTCTCTGTACGCAGATACGTATGTATGTGTGTATGAACGCAGAAACATATTTACATTGTAAAGAGCATTTTATTTTATTTTCTCACCGGGGCGCTCTCACTCATACATTTATACATTAAATGTGTACATGTGTTTGTATGTTTTGCCAGTGTTGCCGTTTTTTGCATGAGTAGTTAAGACACCCCTGGCATTGACAGAATAAAAGAACAGCCGATAAATTGGTTCATGAACCGAATGAACCTGCTCTTTATAAAAAACGTGCCTTTCTCAAAACCCAATCTCAGTTGTTGCATTTCGGCGACTCTTTTTCGACACAAAGGAAATCGTGAACAGCTGATTTTTTTTTGTCAAAAGTTGTTTATATTTTCGCTGTCATGCAGTCATTTGTTATGAACACACATGTTGGCCTGTGTGTACGTACACCAAAGTCTGTACATATGTACATACATATATGCATACATAAATATGCGTAACAATTTGTTTACATTTTTGACGCATCCATTGCTAATAAAAAGCGCAGCATGAAGTGTTATTGACTGAAGTGAATGGAATCATTGAGAATTGGAACATGCAACGCCGCAGATGTTGCCGCTCCAACCATTTGGAACTCATGCTCATGCGCGTTTTCACCGTATACTTGCACAAACACAAACACAAGCACAAGCACAAGTATGCATGTGTGTGCTGCTGAGCGTGAAACCCGCCAGCGGCAGCGAGAGATCGTTTTTGGCGCCAAATGCCAACCGTAGCTTAGCAAGATCTACGACTTGCTCTCTTTTTTTTACATGTCTTTTTTTCTATTATTTTCCATTATTTGTTCCCATTTTACAAAGTCAAATGGAATTTTATAACAATATTAATTGCGAATACTTCATGAATAGTTCAAGCAAATACACATTTATGCATACATACGTACATACTTACATATATATATATATAAGTGATAGGTCAGTTATATATTTCAGAATTTCGATATAATTTATATTTGGATGTTGGTAATATATCGATTTAATGAGAATTCGAATTAGAATAAGTCTCCTAAAAAAAGTTCAAGTTCGATATATACCAACTAGCCTTGTATAAATTAATAATGTTCTTGTTAATTTTACGTATATATTTAATTCGGTGATAAGTGCGATGCCAGCGCGATAAATAATTATGCGTATTTTTGGCAATAAGAGTTGTTCGTATTGGCCTCGCACTTATTCACAACATTTACATGCACACCCACACATAAACACATTCATAACAAAAACAACAACCACAACAACAAACTATTGATTAGCAAACAATTCAACACTATCAGCAGCAACTGGCTGCGCAGCAACAACAACAAGCGGCTGCAGTACAACAGCAACAGTTGCAACAACACCAAGTGGTTGTCCAGCAGAACCAACAGCAGGCACATCAAAATAGCTCCAACACCACATCCGGCGTTGGCACCCAACAGCTATTTACATACAAAATGGCCAGTAGTTTCCCCAATCCAGCCACAACAATGGCACAAGTTGTTGCCACCTCCAATGCGGCAACTACAGGCTATGATTACCGCCTAAATATGGCGCAGGCCGCAGCCGCCGCAGCGGTGCCCGGCTCCCAATGGTGGTATTCGGCTGCCAATCAGGGCCAGGTGGATGCTAACACAGCTGCCCAATTGCAGCAGCAACAGCAGCAGCAACAGCAGCAACAACAGCAGCAACAGCAGCAGCAACAGCAGCAACAACAGCAACAACAACAGATGCAGCAACAGCAGCAGCAACAGAATGTCATCAATTCGGCCGGGGTAAATGATTTATTTTCAATTTAATTGAAATATTTATATTTGCAACAGAATATTTCACTAATCAACCGATGTTTTCCTTGTAGAGCCCAATGATCAGAGGAAAAGCTGATGCGAAACCCAGAGGTCGAATGACTGCTTACGCATACTTTGTACAAACTTGCAGGGAGGAGCACAAAAAGAAGCATCCCGATGAGACAGTGATTTTTGCTGAATTCTCACGGAAGTGCGCTGAGCGTTGGAAGGTAATTATTGTCCTGAGCTTTCGAATTGAACGATATGTTTGATTATTGGTCAAAATCAATCAATCGAACCTCCCCCAATATACAAAATATGGAAGAATCTACCATTTGGTTTTACTCTCCAATTAGACGATGGTCGATAAGGAGAAAAAACGCTTCCATGAAATGGCTGAAAAAGACAAGCAACGTTATGAGACAGAGATGCAAAACTATGTGCCGCCCAAGGGTGCAGTTGTGGGACGTGGCAAGAAAAGAAAACAAATCAAGGACCCGAATGCGCCAAAACGTTCATTGTGAGTTCGTAGCAAAATTGATTATACTAATATTTACTAATATTCATATTTGTACTCATTTCTGTAAGTTATATAACGATTAATTTAATTCAATTTATTTGTTTTGATCAGGTCTGCGTTCTTTTGGTTCTGCAACGATGAGAGAAATAAGGTAAAGGCTCTTAATCCGGAATACGGTGTGGGTGATATTGCTAAAGAGCTTGGCCGCAAATGGTCTGACGTCGATCCTGAAGTTAAGCAAAAGTACGAATCGATGGCAGAAAGGGACAAGGCACGATATGAACGGGTATGTGCATTTGGCTTTAAACGAGTTGTGTCAAATATTTAAATAATTTGTGCATTTTCTAGGAAATGACCGAGTACAAGACAAGCGGGAAAATTGCCATGTCAGCACCTTCGATGCAAGCGTCGATCCAGGCGCAGGCACAAGCAGTACAGAAAGCCGCGTTACTTGCGGCAGCTGCCCAGCAACAGCACCAGCAGCTGGATGAGCAGCATGACGATGATGATGGCGACGGTGATGATGACGAGAATCAATAGGTCTAGCAGTAAAATACTCTTCACTATTTATACACTATCGTTGGTCATCGCGAACAAGGAAAGAACGTTAGTTAATCCCTAGCCAGATTAACTAATGTGTGTTGCATATATATACACAAGTATATATTGATATAATATATATATGTATATATATATATAAATATATATATATATATATACATCTATATATATTTATATATAAATATATATTTATATATAATTAATATAAAATTAATTTTTTTTTTTTAATAATAAGTAATCAAATTTCCATGAATTACTGAAGGAGAAAATCACAAAGAAACCTTTTATAAGTTTTATTTTAAGAATATAATATATAAGTATATGGTTAGATTAAAATGACATACATCTGTCTGCAAATCTTATTTTTGTGCTTCAATGATAAGTTTCTCCTAAAACACTAAGAACGAATTATTTTATAACTTGAAGAAATTCATCCATGTCATTCTCAGCAATCGTTACCACTAAACAAACATACAAAACATATGTATATACATATTACGTATATTGGTACATATTTCCCCATTTATTAAATTTAGATGATTCACCAATAATGAAACTAAACAAACAAACAAAATGATGCGTTTACTCATTGGAGTTGCAACTACTCAATGAAACGTGATAATTTGAAATACTTAACTCAGTGGCGGGTGATATCTCTCTACATATTTATGTGTATATATCCATATATATAAATACATATATTTATATATAACTAAATATGTATTATCAAACAATTTCAGAATACAAACAAAAAAAAAAAAAAAAAAAAAATACTACTAAATTATCACAATGAATATATTGTCAGCATTTAAAAATGAAAAAAAAAAAACTTTTATCAATATCATAAAAGAATCGAGATAAAGGCATAACATATATATTTTTAACGGGTTAATCGGACATTATACCCAATATTCAAACTTCGCGAATGTGTCAACATTCCCAAAAGCAAATTTCTTTTTTTTTTTGTTTTTTTTTTTAAGCTATTTTTTTTTTTTTTTTTTTATAAAATTATTTTTTGTCCCATTTGGATTAGAAATTTCCTCCATATAAATTAAGTTGCTCTGGTAAATGGGCAAAGTTGGAGTTGTTTTTCTGTGTAAATACATAAAGATAATTGGATGTTAGATTTCCGATAGTCGGCGGTATGAATTAATTGAATCCAGATGTATTATGAATATAAAATTGTATGTTTCTAGGCTGTTAAACATATACGAGTACTTGTACGCATTATATGAAACAAAAACAAAAACAAAAACAAAACAAAAAATAACGGACACTGACGGCACGCCTGTTGTCTTGGCCATGTACATACATATTGAAGTATTATTTAAACCATTGGCTTTATACTAAGGAGATTGATTCTGAAAGAGTATATAGTTTTAACAACAACAACAACATGTACACTAGGAAAGTATTGCCAATGCTTAAGAGGAGCAACCTGTATGCATATACACACACACACACACATACACAGACAGACAGACAGACAGAAAGATACACGCATACACTGATACACACACACACATATATGTATGTATATGTATATATATATGTATATACGATAGAGTAAATTATGCTTTTTTGATAACGTACGTTTGCACAAGCTTGCAGATCGTGCAAAATCTCTTGATGTGGGGCATACTTCGATATGTGGCATGATGTATCAATAAATTAATAAAACACAAAAAAACAAAATAAATAAATATATAACGAGCGAGATCTGGAAAAAAAACACACACACACACACAACATATATACGAAATATGTTGAAATCCGAAAATATCGTGAGACTTCCTAAGCAAACAACAAGAATCATACACATTATTAGGACTAGTATGGATACATATTAGATAGAATATGGCGTGACAAATCGATTCACATAGGAGAGAACACAACAGCCGCATATGCATATTCGTAGCATTATAATGTTACCGCTTTATTAAGAATACCGTAACACCTGATATGATGGTCACGTTATATACCTCAAATGTATGTACAGTTATTATTTTCTTAACAAAAAAAAAAAAAAAACGATTTTTTTTTTTTGTTTTTTATTTTTGTTTTGCCAGAGAACAACTCGCCACCGAGATGATATTCATAGAAGTGTAGAGAATATTACATAGATATATTTTAATTTTCGATTTAACAGTAACTCCTTACATTATTTACTATGACAATTCCAGTTCCCCGTGCTTGTTATAAGAAAAGTAAACTAATACAAATAAACTTTTAGAAAAGTGATACTTTGTTTTTAGTGTATTCTCGGATGTGTACGTTCTGATTGTGGTCCAGCTCCAAGATCGGTTCTGTATATATACCTTTTTTTTTTTATGTTTGTTTTTATAAGCTCTCCAAATTTAAAATATATTCCACAACGTAATATCTGAAAAAGAAAAAAAAAAAAACAATAAAATAATTAACATTTTTATGGATTACGTATGTATATGTGTAAGGGTGAATTACATTAGATACTAAGGTATTTTTTTTATTTAATTTTTTTTTCTATGAATTTACACAATCCTGTAAAAATAGTTGAAAATAAATATAATTTAGCTAGATATACGCTTATGAAGGCAAATTTGAGAGATTTCGTTATGTTTGATTTACGTCCGTTTTCTATGCTGTTTCAGAAACAAAACAATTTTATTATTTTCTCAATGTCAATGTTAGCATATCGAACAATGAATCATTGCATTCATTGCTCAACTATTCACATTGTTCACAACGACAACACATGAAACAATCGATTAGAGCGAGAGGCAGATACACGAACTGCGCTGTCTCCGTGTAATACGGGGTTGAGGCTGGTCGAAAATATTGTTCGGGAACTCTATTAATGAAACTATGTGTTTTTAGCATCCTATTACACCAATAACTCAAAACTGAAGGAACAAAGTAAAAAGATTAGAGCTTTTGAATGGAATATTTATAAATGAGAAAGGCATGCATACATTATGATTTAATTGACTGATTAATTGCTAAGATTGTTGACATTGAACGAGAGATGTGTGCAAGTGTAAGGTTATTCATAGAACAATTTAATATTCAATCAGTTATTGGCTTATACATATGTCAACTATATACGATTTGGCTGATTTCCCAGATTAGTTTCCATATTAAACCACAGATGGCACCAGCTTTAAGCTGCTGATTTAACCTTGCAAAAACCTGTCGCCCAGTTCTTACATCATTTCTCAAAACATGCAAATGGTAAAAACTGTAGAACATGGCATGGTAAGTAGTTTAATTTAGTTTTATTCGGTTTTGCTTGGTTTGGAAATTATAATGAAACAATTTAATCTTAAATGTATAATTGCACGTTCTACTGAAAATATTCCAAGCCCTATATATTTTCAAAAATTCCCAAAATTGGCATCTACCCAAAATTGGCTAGATATATCCAATGGTTGGGACCCAATTAATTAATGCTCTGGTTATGAGCAAAACTTAAACTTACTTTATTTTAAATGCTTCTGGTTTGGCCAAAGATTTGATTAGTAGTATAATATTAATCGGAATTCTGGGTTGAAGAGGGTTGGGCTTTGAACCGGCTTGCCGCTGTAAAAGTACCTCTATTACCATTACAGTTTATTTAATTTATTATTTATTTATTTCGCCCTATTTCGTCAAAATGAAAGCTTGGACTGATCAACCCCAACCCAATACAAAAAATAATTTAAAAAAATTGCGGTTTTGTTTCTTTATTTATTACACGAGTTGATTTTGCTTTGATGTGTTACAATAGTAGTAGTTTTCTTGTTTTATTCTTTTTTTTTGTAGTATAGTGTTTTAGATCGCCTGCTAGGTGTGTCTTGTTACACGACTTAAATGCTAAAAATCTGTATACCACAGTCTCTAAGACGTACAACGCAACACAGAAATTATTAAGACTGAATTTTCTTTAAATTTCGATTAAGGGTGTGTGTGTGTGTGTATGTGTGTGTATGTGTGGGTCTGTCTGTCTGTCCGTTTGATATTGTGTGTGCGTGTATTTCATGTGAGCGTAGAGCCATGAGATTGAAAACGAAATTGGAACATTTAATTCTAAGTTCAAAATTAAGATGCGTCGGCCGACTTGTCGTACACGCATTATTATCAATAATAAATAAATTATACAAAAAAAGAAAAGGGAGCTAGCTTAGTTAATAATAGTAATGTTGGTACACTTTTTTTTGTTTTTTTTGGGAGCCCTTACTTTACATCCAGAGCTCGCCGCCACAAATCTCAAGGGCCATCTTCTTGCGGAAGTACTCCATGTGCTCCTGGGAGAAGTTGAGCGGCTTATTCCGTGTTATATACTCTGCAAACATACAGCTAAACACACCGCAGTCACTGCCATTGGTCTGATGGGGCACATTCTGGACATTCTCAATTGTAAAGTCGCTGGTGTCGAACGGCTTCTTGCGTTTGTCCAATGACTCCTCATGCAAGTAATTCTCTAGGGCGTTCAACACCTCCGAATTTGGCTTGCCCATTGAATCATAATAGCGAATTGTTTTGTTCTTCATGTGGATAATGGCCATGCACCAGTGGACGTTGCTCACATGCACTGGCACCGGAATTATATCTTTGCTGAATATATCAACCTTGCGAGTCCAACGTTTCACATTGCTATAACCGCCTTGCAGCAGCCGGGGCACAAAGAATGTATTCATAGCATAAACGCTTGGCAGTTTGCCCTCCTTGCGTTGCGAGCGATCGGTTAACAAGTTCATATAGAAATTAATAACCTCGTCGTTTAGCCAAGAACTTCCAGCTAGCGTCCGAATATCATTGCGAGTAATACTCAGGCTGAATTTGGAAATAAGTACCTAGAGATAAAATAAGTAAGTAATTTGTACATAATAGAATACAAATAGATGAGTTCACCTGGTCGGCCCTGCCATAGACTAGCTCATTATAGCGCTGCTGATGGGCTTCGGTGAATGGAATAAATTCTGGTTCGCTATCCTCCTCTAATGGATACTTCTCCAACACAAACAATGTTTGGGATATGAAACGTCGTTTGGATAAGTTCTCGCGCAAACCCTGTTCAAAAGCACGACGCTCTTCTGTTGTTCTTTCAGCTCTGTGGAATAATTATTCATTAAGCCTACAAATTTTTGAAAGCATGAGACCGAATGCAATTGGATGATAAGCCAAAAAACATTTGCACCCATTATGATTTTAAATGTTACCCGCACCTAAGTATGTTTACAGGGTTTATAAACTGATTTAGGCATTCGTCTCAAATACATTACACTTACTCTTGAATAACCAGTTTCTTTGCATGATTCACCTCCTGTTGCATACGCGCACATTTCTCATTAAAGAGATCTGTATAGTTATCAGCAAAATAGATGGATTTACTGTGGCGCAGCTGCAGCGCTTTAGTCCGGGACATCAACAGCCCGGGTGGTGGCGGCATCATTTGTGTTCTATAAAAGTATAAAATCTTAATTATAATATCGAAAGCTTTCCTAAATTGTAAGCAAATTGTGTAAACAAAAATTTAAAGAAATTTTGATGAACTGACAAAGAATTTTGAATAAGTAGTATTAAGAATGAATTTAATCGGAAACATTCGACTGAACTAGTCGGCAAGGGACACTCACTTATTCGCTTGCTTTCCGTGATCATCATCTATGATTTCAGTGACCTCGGGCTTGTCTGGCTTTGTGCTGGAGGAGCTGGCGTCCAGTCCGTAGCATTGCATGAGAGGTGGCGGCGGTTTCTTGGCCAGTGAGAATGGCTGTTGCTGCTGTTGTTGTTGTGGCTTCGAATTGTAATCCAGCAGCTTGGCGTACTCGGAGCGGAGGGGCGCACGGGACTCAGGCTTGCTTTTGATTAGACCCCGCAGCCAGTCGCTGCTATTAAGGCTAATAGGCTGCAGTGGCGGCGGAGGCGGTGGCTTTTCATTCTCACGAGCAGCACCCGAACGGCGTGCACACTCGCGCTCATGAAGAGTCAGATTATTGATCAGATTGACGTACTGATTATGCTCGTTGCGTTGCTCCTCCAACACCATTATATTATCCCTGCTGACGCCCGAGTCATATAAATTGCTGATATGCCCATTCAAACGTGCCTCGGATGAGGATAGGCTACTAGCAGGACGTTGTTGATAGTTTAGATCGGTGACAAAACCATTTGTACCGAAACGCACGGCATCGGAGTACAGCAAATTTGGTCTTCTCGCTGACGATGAGTTGCGTCCAAATTCATCTTGACGCGGCGGGGGCTGCACGCTCGTGACAAGACGATCGGCAAATGCTTGATACATATTGCTTTCATTATGCTGCGGCTCCTCAGAGTCAGACAGATCGACCGAAATAGTGGCTTGGGTGTTGCGTACACGCACCTGCCGCGTCTGCGGTGTACAGAACATGGAAAGACGCTTGTGTGTTTGGTAGGCATTGTGATTGCTGTTGTTTTCCTGTTCCTTGCGTTGGTTCGCAGTTGCCATGTGGCTGTAATCATCAGCTATGAAAATAAGAAGTGACAATCTATTATTAACAATATTTAAATGCTTAATTTTGAACTAAAACTTCATTTGGTGTCAAAGAGTACTGCGACAGGGTTACTGAAAAATTCAACCTCCAAGTTGGGGAAAACTGTAGTAAAAGTGTGCGTTCCAAGCGTAACGTCAGGAGCAGGCGTGACTTTCTTATTAATTTAACAATGAGTAAACAGGTTTGAGAGGATGAGGCTAATGCATGCATGTAGATCATCTTAGCCAAGCCATAGTCGCCAGTGCTATTCCCATAAAAAACATAAAACCCCGAAGCTTGCTTTGCACAGCACAGCTTTTAAACATTCTATATAGTGAAATGCTCGAGGACAACGAAGATGAGGGGAGGAAGCTCAAATTACTATAGCCAAGCTCCCAAAGCTACGATATTCACAGAGGGAGTGTTTGTTGACCACGAAAATAGTTTCGCCTATTCCTGACTGAGGACAGACAAGGCTGAATGAACGAATGTGACATGTTTGTTTTACGCGCTGAAATGTGACAAAGCCGATCGTTTTGAATACTCACCGTCATTCGGCATAAATTTGGGAAACGTGTTATCCACACGGCGATATTTTATCGGACGTGGAGCTGTGGCCTCGGTGGCCACGTTTTGATAGCTGAAACCGAGTGAAGAATGTTAGCTATATATTATAATACATTGGGAGGGATTGTTTTGAATGGGTTGTTTCACCTTCGTTTGCGATTGTGTTCGCTGTCCTCGTTTCTAGTATTGGGTGGCTCCTTGTTGTTGTTGCTGCGACCGCCCAACAGAAACCAGTGACGTATCCAATTAAATAGATCAAAGCCCATCGGATCGTGATGTGGGTTCTGTGTGTGCGTTGCACTCTCGATTTTAGACGATAAAGCGCTTATCTTATAATCAATCTCGTTCAGCAATGCAGTCGTCTCAAATGCAATGGCTGCTTCAGATGTAATCGAGGTCCTTAACAGATACTCGCGTACATCGCTTAGTTTACGCTGCAGCAGCAGAACGCCCCACAGACCGTCCAATTGCCGATTGCTGCAGATGTCGCCAATAAAGTCCAAGGTGCGTTGTACAACTGCCAAGCGCGGATCCGACTCCGGCTCCGAATCTCCCTCAGTTGCAGATGATGTGAAAGAAAAATCGTTCTGTTCCGATGCTGTCTCGAAATCGTTGGGCTGTTGCTGTTGCGTTGCTGGATCAAAATCAAAATCGTTTATGGGCTCATATGTGGGTGAGAGGCCAGCGCCATTTGTCACTGATGCAGTATCCCAATCGAGCGGCAGCCCAACTCCGTTCAATGCAAATGCGTGCTCTGGATTCCAGTTGGCACCGCTGGCCGCCACTGTTACTTGACTGGGCAGTATATTGGATGTTTCGCGCACACTGCCTACAGTGTGCAATGCGGGGTACACTAAAAACAATAACAATAGCAGCAAGTTAGTTCTTATCGGTCACCTGGAGACGGCCGCCATGCGAAGATGTCTGCGTCTGGGGCCAGGTTCATCTGTAAATTTTGCGCGCCGCTTTTGCAACAGCCACAAATTACCACAACAACAAAAAAGTAACGCACACAATGTGCAGACGCGAGGCAAACGCAATGTTTATGGTGAATAGTAACAACAACAACAGTGCATTTGCAACGCGCACTTTAAATACAATTGCGAATATTTTGTAAGTAAAGTGAATTCAATGCCGGCTGATGCCATTTCGACGCCGCGTTTAAAACTTGTGTTGCGAGTGCTTGTTTTGTTTATAGGCGCTCTCAATGGCGTTTTAGCTGGCGTTTTTACTTACCAGTTGTTTTGTTTGTATGAATGTATAGAAAATATATAAAATATTTTAAATTTTCTACAATCAAAAGCTTGATCGCCTGAAATTTAGCGTGCTGACGGACAGGCTGACATATCGACAAAGCAACCACATCTACATAAAAATGAAAATGCCAAAAAAAATACTAAGCAAAAAATACTGAATGCAACTTGAAACACTTTTAATGGCGCTTTAAGCAATTGTAATTAAGGAATTCTAATTTTATGAACTTCGTTTTATTTACCTCAAGCAATTTTGCATGCTGTTGAACCAATTATTTAAAAAAATATGTTTAACATTTTTCCAAAACTTTGGTGCACAAAATGTATTGTGCAACACTAAAGTCGTGCTAGGCAACTATCGAAACTCGTTTGTGCGATATTTTGATACATATTGACCGCCTAAAATTTAAATATGTACGCCATTTTGTTTATTTATATGAATTCGTGCTACACCTGACATTGTCGCAAGTGTATTTATTATTTGAATTTTCTAATGGCTAGAGATAGTGTTAATCCTTGGTCTGACAACAGAAAAACAAAAAATTCCACAGCAATGTCGTTGATCCATATAAAGCTCCCGCCAGGCCCACTGTTGCCTGAAACGAGTAGTTCACAACGACCCAATGGGCGAGAGCGCCCCAGATGAGTATCAGTAGACCATTGGTAAAGTGCACCGGTCGGCGTATGGCTGTCCAATTGGCACGCGTCATGCCCAACTGGAAGACCATCTCCTGTAGAAAGGCGGTGACCACTTGACCAAAGCCCAACAGCACAGCCGAAACGCTCAGCAGCAGCTTGGATGTGGAGAAGCTAATAACTATGGGATGGTGTGTGACAATTAAAAGTTGTACGTAATGTGATTTTAGGACTCCAATGCTTACAAATGAGCGCCAGGCACTTGCAGATGCTGCCCAATGTGTACCACTGCAACTTGCGTTTGTAAAGGCTGGAACCGAAACGCGGCGTCATCAGCGAAAAGCACATCCATGGAAAGGCCAGCAGCGAGAACAGAAATGGAATTTCGGCGTTCTTGAGCGCATGATGGCTAACAGCCAGTCCCGGCAGCACAGTCAGGCACATCACATAACTAAAAATGTCCGCCGAAAGCAGCAGCGTGCTAGCATACAGCTGTGGCACCATCAGCGCATGCTGCAGCGGCATAGCAATCTTATCCAGTAGATTCCACCATAAATGCGAGGTGACCGCGCGTGACATGCGTCGTATGCGATGCTGTCAACAAGTAGAATATAAGGATCAGAGATGCACTGTGTTCACTTGCTTACCAGATTCGCGTACGCCTCCGGCAGCGGAGATGAGCTGCCCGTTCCAGTGGGATTTTGCGGACTTTGCGCATGGAGTCGACCATTTGAATGGGACTTGTGCAGCACTTGCGATTGCGACATGCTGTAATTATCGATGGTGGCATTGCTGGAACGCATTATGGACACCGTTTCATCCTCTTCGGGTATTATCTCCATAATCTCAACGCCATTCGGATTAACATAGGTGACGTATGCCTCATCCGTGGCGAGCATGTAGTTGCTGTGCGTATCCACAACGGCGGCGGCCACAGCTGCCGCAGGCGCTGTGCTGGTCATCTCTGTAGCCGGATTACGCCATGACATTGCCGTGTCCAGCCCATCCAGCTGATCAGCAACAAAGTTAGCCGCTAGCGCTGCACGCAATGGCAATGCACCGAAACCAGTCTCAGCCTTGATCACGGATATCCGCTTGGTGGTAAATGCATCCTCCCGATGCTTGGTGATGATCAGGCTCAGTGGAATGAGATTCACCAGCATTGCCGACATGAGCACAATGGACTGAGCAGTGCCGTACAGAGTGCGCAGGCTGGTGAAGACGAACGACAGGAACAGCTGGCAGAAGGCCTCGCCGCACAGATGAATTGTTTTGCGCACGTATTTGTCCTCGCGCGGACGGACTGCCTCCAGTATAACATGAGTTTTCCACAAATACAGGCTGGAGCCAATACCTAAAACGCCACTGGGACTTTCAATGGATTTGGCTGGCAGCTGGCGCCAATGTTTCGCTTACCCGCAAAGCAGCCGTAGAAGACAATAGCCACCGTTTGAGTGGTGGTGGTGACCACCACCCAGGCGGATGAGAAAAATATGCCACTGATCATCAGCGATAGGCATGCAATCAGTGTGGCTAGCAGAAAGATGCGCCTATATTGATTCGTTTCCTGAGCACGACCGCTATACTCTGTGTCCAGATGTTCCATAATGGAGCGGCAAAGCTCGCCGGTGGCCTGATAGACAATCGCTGGCCAAATGCGCAACACCAGATCCTTGTCCGATTCCACAATATTGCCATACAAATACGCAGGTGTTGCAAGAAAGGCCTGGATGAATTGACGCAGCATACGAACGAGAGAGATTAATAAAGAGAGCCCTTTTATATGTAGAAGAGAGAGAAAGAGAGAGAGAGAGAGAGAGAGGGGGGCAGAAAGAGAGAGAGAGAGAGAGGGGGAGAGAGGGGAGCTGCTATTTACGTGTATGGCAAAGCCGCAGAGCATGTACTTCTGTTGTATGTGCTTCTTGACCACCCGGCGCCGTTGGACACCGGCGGTGGCCCGGGCAGCGGTGCGACGTACGGCTGTAGCAGCCACTGGAACCGCTGCCACTGTTGCCATTGGCATTGTCGTCATTCCTGGCTAGCGCGGCAATAGAGAATGCGACCTCTCTGGGGATGATCCGGATCCGTTTGCTTTTCGTGTATGGAATTTTTGTGTGCGGGTACTGTGCGAGGCGCGTTGTCTGGCCGTTAGCATTCATCATTTACCAAACCGAAACCCGTTTAGATAATGCCAAAAGCAAAAATAAAAACTGTGATAATAATCGCGCTTATCACATTGAAGATATCTACATACAAACACCCACTCAACCACAAAGTGTGTGAATGTGTGTGTGAGTGTGTATGTGTGTGAGTGTGTGTGTGTGTGAGTGTCAGTCAGAGATTAACGTCAGATACATATGTAAAAAGTTTGTCTTCATCGTTGACGCTGTTGGCTTTCCTGAAAACGCCAGCAGAGGATTATGTTTATGACCAGACGCCAGCTGATCAGACATCGCACTCTGATAACGTGCAGCATACGATCCGGTAATACTATATGGGCCTTTTCGAGTGAACCAAGTTAATCTATTGAGTGCACTGTTTCCCCCAATTGCGTAATACAATAATATATTTTATTTATTTGGACTCGGAAAAAAAAAACAACTTTGACCAAATGCAATCTCATAGAAGTAAGGCAAATATTAAGATTACAAAATGTGATTTGATTATTGTTATTGCAAGATATGCATCCAAAATGTACCGAAAATAAACCAGAAAAAAGTGCAAAAATCACAAAATTCATGGGGAGCAACTTTCATTAAACTAATCGTTATGGTTTTTATTATTCCTGTGAATATAGGATGAGATCCTTAAATTACAAATCTAATCCGCATTGGCTTCTGCAACCTGGGACTCGAACCTGCGTCCCTCTTGTTTAAACAGTATTTTTGCTAATTTTTTGGATTTTTTTTGAAGTCTAAAAGTTAATTGGGAATAATATCGTCTGTTAATTTTTCTGTTTTAATTCGTGATTGATCTTTATCATAAAAATTTAAAAGTATTTGAAATATTTACTACTTAAAAGATTGTGCGATATATACTATATTTTACTCTTAAGAACAAATAAAAGAAATAAACTTATTGCCGCCGAGTCTTGGAAATTCTGGATCAGAAAAAAACAGTTTTAGAATATATACCAAAACGACATAACTCCGCGCGGTATGATGAGTAATGGCTTCGCGGGGAGATATGACGTTCCAAAACGACATAACTCCAGGCGGTATGATGGATAATAGCTCCGCGGGGAGATATGACGTTCCAAAACGACATAACTCCGCGCGGTATGATGGGTAATAGCTCCGCGGGGAGATATGACGTTCCAAAACGACATAACTCCAGGCGTTATGATGGGTAATAGCTCCGCGGGGAGATATGACATTCCAAAACGACATAGCTCCGCGCGGTATGATGGGTAATAGCTCCGCGGGGAGATATGACATTCCAAAACGACATAACTCCGCGCGGTATGATGGATACGAGCTCCGCGGGGAGATATGACGTTCCAAAACGACATAACTCCCTCCGCTCGGATGGAAATAGCTCCGCGGGGAGATATGATATGACGTTCCAAAACGACATAACTCCGCGCGGTATGATGGGTAATAGCTTCGCGGGGAGATATGACGTTCCAAAACGACATAGCTCCGCGCGGTAAGATGGATAATTGCTCCGCGGGGAGATATGACGTTCCAAAACGACATAACTCCGCGCGGTATGATCGGTAATAGCTTCGCGGGGAGTTATGACGTTCCAAAACGACATAACTCCGCGTGGTATGATGGGTAATAGCTCCGCGGGGAGATATTACGTTCCAAAACGACATAGCTCCGCGCGGTATGATGGGTAATAGCTCCGCAGGGAGATATGACGTTCCAAAACGACATAACTCCGCGCGGTATGATGGGTAATAGCTTCGCGGGGAGATATGACGTTCCAAAACGACATAGCTCCGCGCTGTACGATGGATAATAGCTCCGCGGGGAGATATGACATTCCAAAACGACATAACTCCCTCCGCTCGGATGGAAATAGCCTCGCGGGGAGATATGACGTTCCAAAACGACATAACTCCGCGCCGTATGATGGATAATAGCTCCGCGGGGAGATATGACGTTCCAAAACGACATAACTCTCTCCGCTCGGATGGAAATAGCTTCGCGGGGAGATATGACGTTCCAAAACGACATAACTCCGCGCGGTATGATGGATCATAGCTCCACGGGGAGATATGACGTTCCAAAACGACATAACTCCGCGCGGTATGATGGGCAATAGCTCCACGGGGAGATATGACATTCCAAAACGACATAGCTCCGCGCGGTATGATGGATAATAGCTCCGCGGGGAGATATGACGTTCCAAAACGACATAACTCTCTCCGCTCGGATGGAAATAGCTTCGCGGGGAGATATGACGTTGCAAAAAGACATAACTCCGCGCGATATGATGGGTAATAGCTCCGCGGGGAGATATGACGTTCCAAAACGACATAACT